CGGTCCATGCGCCTTACTCACATCCAACCTGGATAACTCACCGGGAACCCTGCGAGTGGAGATTATAGGAAGGTGCATAGGTTCAGTAGGAGGTGCAGGGGTAGGAGGGGTAGAGTGGGAATCGTCTAAGGTGGAATTAGAGGAGAATAAGGTGCCAAAGAGGTTGGCTTTCTCAGGGGGAGAGTTGGCTATAGAGTTATTGGGACAGAAGAGGGGAGGAAAAGAAGGTGTGCAGAAGTTGTTATAGATGTTTTTAGCTAAGGACCAGAAGGATTTACTAGAGGAAGAATTAGTCAGGACAGCAGTCTTTCTTTTAATAAAATTCCGCTTGGCCCTACGAAGAATAGCCTTACAACGATTCCTAGAAGTAATGAAAGAGGTGTGGGTAATAGGAGAAGGAGATAGTTTCATAGCTCGATATGCCCTATCTCTCACCCTGCAAGCAAGAGAGCAGGAGCGATCAAACCATGATTGTAATGTGAAAGTTTTGGTAGAAGATGGGATAAATGCACTCATACCGCCCTGTATAACCCCAGCAATGCTGTCAGCACATACCGAGGCATCCCGAGTGGAAAAGCAACATTCATCCCAAGGAAAGTCGGTGAAGAATTCTCGCAAGGATTGCCAGCTTGCCCTCCGATAGTGCCATAGTTGACGTTTAGAGGGGGGTGGGGGAGGTGGTCGTGCCCAGTTTGATTTAATAGAAATAAGGTTGTGATCAGAAGACCCTAAGGGGGCAAAAATTGAGTATGAATAGTGTGAGGGGTTAGAGGTAAAACAAAGATCAAGAATGTTAGCAAGTTGATCGTGTCGATCAGGAACGCGTGTAGGGTGTTTGATTATTTGTTCCAAATCATTAAGTAAGGAAAAAGAGAGTGCCTCAGCTCCACCTGGGTCATCCCTTGCAGAGCCAAGCCACTCTCTGATGTACATTGAAATCCCCTAGGTAGAGGATCTCGGTGTTGGGGTGTGTGGATAGCAACGACTCATGGCAAGAAGTGAGATAGTCAGAGTTCGAAATAGTTGGTAGAGTTGGGAGAACAGTATAGGAAACAAAGAAAAATAGTCACAGTAGGTAGAGATATTTTGAGCCAGATGACATCATAAAGGGGAGATTCAAGATCCGTGAGTCGGGCTATAGGTGTACGTGTATTGCAGTAGGCGCATACACCTCCCTTAGAACGGAAGTAGGTATAAAGGTTGTAGTTAGAGACTTGAAAAGGTTTGGGTGAAGCTGCTTTGGTCAGTTGAAGTTCGGAGAGTAGTAAGAGATCGGGGGAAGAGGTTAATAGATGGTGCTCCACAGAAGAAAAATTGGATCTCAGTCGGCGAATGTTGGAGAAATGAAGCGTGAAAAAAGCCGATCCTCCAGCAACAGTAGTGGCGTCAGTTGAGGCCCCAGTAGCTTGATGATGATCAGGTCGGCCCTGGGGTCCACAACCTTCCCGACCAGTGGGACCCATCCGAGAAGGCCCAGCTTCAGTATTAATATCAACTGACATAGGAGAATAAAATAGAATTAATAAAACAGATCAAGAATGAGTAAGGTTTTAGTTGTGGTGTTGTCAATAGTAAGAAAGACAGTTGAGACCCTGCAATTGTGTGTAAATGAGGCAGAAAGGTAGATCAGCAACCTGGGACTTGGTCACAATTTTCGTGATGCCATATAGCAGCAGGGTCTACCATTAGACAAAACATTATGCTTCCAATATCTTCACAGGTGGTAGTACCTCCCTGTTTGGTAGCTGCCTACTACCTACAGCCCACGAGTCCAGGACCTATGATGAGATCACAGCCAGAATTTGACGGACAGCAGGGTAGCTAGATACTGACTGTAGGACGGCTGGGTTAAATCTCCCGGTGACGCAGATAGTCGCTGCCGTTCTCACCTCTGTCCAACCACCCCAGGTGTCGTCTGCACCAGCAACCGAGCGAGTTAGCAGCGGTAGGTAACCAGCCCGAGGATCGTTTCCGCCTTCACAGCTCCTTCAGTTCCCTCCTGACACTCTTTTGTTCTTCTGTTTTCTTAAAAGGAAAATTCTTTTTTCAGTATTGTTTAATAAATTACTTTATGTTAGTATATTGTTTTTTTATTTAATCCTTCTTTAAAAAATCCTACTTCGGCGACATCCTGTCTGGGAAAGTGAATTTACTGAGAAAAGGTACAGAAAAGGAGTCATTAACTTAGTAGTTATTATTTATTAGCATATTTTAAAGTGCATATTTAAGTGCATATTTTCTCAGTTTTTATTACATATTTGCATGCATATTTAGCCATTTTTAAATGCATAATTATCCTAAGCCTAGTAATAAGCATATTTTCTTAAAATTTTCAGTGTTTTAGGTATTCTCAGAATGTCTGACAGTTTGGTGTTACAATCCCAGGGTTTGGGTTTCTTCTACAGGGTGGCGGAGTAAACTATTTTCAGCAGCATTTCACGTGGCCATAAGCTCCTTATATTTTTAACTTCCATACGTGTCCTATTCTGAACATTTCCACCAGATATATCTGCTAAGTAAAATAGAAAACTCCTGAATTTGACGGACAGCAGGGTAGCTAGATACTGACTGTAGGACAGCTGGGTTGAATCTCCCGGTGACGCAGATAGTCGCTGCCGTTCTCATCTCTGTCCGACCACCCCAAGTGTCGTCTGCACCAGCAACCAAGCGAGTAAGCAGCGGTAACCAGCAGGAGGATCGTTTCCGCCTTTACAGCTCCTTTAGTTCCCTCCTGACACTCTTTTGTTCTTCTGTTTTCTTAAAAGGAAAATACTTTTTTTCAGTATTGTTTAATAAATTACTTTGTTAGTATATTGTTTTTTGTATTTAATCCTTCTTTAAAAAATCCTACTTCGGCGACAACCTGTCTGGGAAAGTGAATTTACTGAGAAAAGGTACAGAAAAGGAGTCATTAACTTAGTAGTTATTATTTATTAACATATTTTAAAGTGCATATTTAAGTGCATATTTTCTCAGTTTTTATTACATATTTGCATGCATATGTAGCCATTTTTAAATGCATAATTATCCTAAGCCTAGTAATAAGCATATTTTCTTAAAATTTTCAGTGTTTTAGGTATTCTCAGAATGTCTGACAGTTTGGTGTTACAATCCCAGGGTTTGGGTTTCTTCTACAGGGTGGCGGAGTAAACTATTTTCAGCAGCATTTCACGTGGCCATAAGCTCCTTATATTTTTAACTTCCATACGTGTCCTATTCTGAACATTTCCACCAGATATATCTGCTAAGTAAAATAGAAAACTCCTGAAACTTCTTAGCTCTCTTGTAGTGGTTAATATGTGAGAGTGAGTGAAGATATACATGTCTGTGTGTAAGGTAAGACATCACAAATATTGTAAACAAAGAAAGAATATAAGAAAAAATACTACTAGACCAAAATATGAGTCTTATTTCTATTTAATAACAAAATCATGAAAAAAATTCTTGACTTTTGACAGAAAATTTGTTTTACCTTTCTTAGTTTCCACTTCCACGAACTCAAAGTCCTCCCAAGGATTAAAAGAGGGATCCAATGCTTGCTTTCCCAAGTTCGCTCTGGCTCGCAACTCCTGTAGAGTAGCTACTCGTTTCTGAAAACCTGGTTTCTTCTCTTGTTTTTCACCTTCAATCATCAAATCAATATACTCCACAACAGACAATGGGTCAGGTTTTAGCGCTATCACTTTTAAGCGGTTGAGATGGTCTCTTGACTTCTCCATCAGTTCTATCACTTTGTTTTTTACCCATTTGAAAATGTCAGAGTTTTTCTTCAACATTTCCTCACAGCTATTCTTTCCTTTCTTGGCAGAACGATACCGCTCATAGATTTCATCAGAGTTTCTCTCCACGGTCTCCTCTCTGTATTCCCAAACGTATTTCTGATTGAAGTGAGCACTCCATGCACACTTTCCTGGGCAATTTGTACAGGATCCATCTTTCATGGCAGCACATCTAGCTTTTTCATTATCATTTGCTATGGCACATGGATAGTGACATGTAGTGTAGCATGTTTGGCAGTTTGTATTGTAAAGGCCCGACTGTGAAATATCCTTCTGATATGGCTTCCTCATTTTAACTTTGTATTTAAAGTCCTTGTTAGCTTCTATCTTTGCATCATTGTCTTTCATGATGTCATAATCCTGTTTTATTTCCTCCAGCTTTGATAAACCACTCTGAATTTGACTGTGTAGACCTTCCAGCGTTACCTCAAGCTCACGGCGCTCACGAAGAACATCTTTGGACATTTGTAGACTCTTTTGGTCTACAGCTGCAAGAGCTTTGAAAAACTTTTTCATGCTCTGCATTCCCATTCTCCAAAACTGGTAATCAAAAGATTCATATTCATCTTTATCAGCGTCAGTAACTGTATTGCTGACAAACAAAGCCGAGTTATTAAACTTGAAGTGCTCCCCTCTGTAGGGCATATTATGTTCCTTGATAGAGGAGATCACTGGAGGATCTTGGCCATCACAAAAAGTAACAATAGTGAAGATGTTCTCTGCTATATCTTTTCCAAAGAGTGAAAGTATAGAATCAAACACAAACTTTTGTGTGTAGGTCAGTCGAGCTAGAGCTGACTGAACAACAAAGCCAATAACATCAATATGATCAATACCATTCCCATGTGAGTTTTGAAAAAGAGCATCAATCTGCTGAATAATCTTCCTATCTTCTTCTATCCCTGAAGTATCACCAAACCCGGGTGTGTCGATGACGGTCAGGTTGTACGGTACCCTGGAACCTGCCACTCCTGTGTGGTAAATACTGTATGCTGTAATCCATTTTGTTTGGCTGTGAACTTGACTCTTTTCACTTGTGTTGCCCTGTGCGTCCTTCTCATCATGGATGAGTTTGAAGCGATAATTGTCTTCCCACTTAACGTCAAATAAGTAATTAATCATGCCATTGATTAGTGTAGTTTTCCCAGACCCTGTGGCACCTACCATCATAATGACTTTATCGCTACTAGGAGTATTGAACTTCCCTGGTTTACCAAACTGCATTTTACAGATATTTTTCTGTGTTTCGCATATTTTCTTCAAGAGGAATGGCATATATTTCCGGACTACCTTTATGTGTTCTTGGTACAAGTAACTTCGCGGAAATCAATTTAGTAGTGGAAATGTTGGAAAGAGTTTCCATAGTGATGGCACCACTGCTATTGCTAGTGCCACTTGAACATACTGCAGTAACACTGAAAGTATATTCAGTGCTAGGCATCAAGTTTGTGAATAACGTGGACGTACTGGTTGATTCTTCTGCTACAACTTGATTGTTTACTATACAGAGACATTTGACTTTATATAGTTTGATAACCTCACCCTTAGCGATCACTGTTGGTTGCTTCCAGCATATGGCAAGCTCTGATGACAACGCATTGCTCTGTGACGGAATGCCTGGAGGACTGCAAGGCTTTGTTAAGACCACGTCACTTTTAATGCTTGCGGGGCTTAGTCCACCATCGCACTTAGCAATAATTTCAAACACGTACTGAGTATTTGGTTTCATATTATTGACAGTGGCGCTTGTGCCTTTCTCAACTTCATGTGTGTGTGTCCGAGGATCATCAGTGCATCCCAGATCAGTGAACTTTATGGAGTAGGACTCAACGTTGCAACATCCATTCTCTGGCTCTTCCCAGGTGAGACTAACCTGATCATGGTCGACACTATCAATACTCGGTTTTCCTGGAGCTGAAGGTGGTTTAAAGTCTGAATCCACTACTTCTCCTTCCTTGTAATGGATTACCCGGGCTCCAACGGTCTTTTCTCCATCATCGCTACTTGACACGACAAAGCATGAATCAAGCGTCGGTCGGGTGGCATTTACGAAATCAGCAAATTGCATTGAGCGCTTCCTGATACACTTTTTGATTGCTGGATTATGGAACCAAGCTTTTTTGTCCTCTGTGGTTTCCTTAACATTGCCGCCAGCAAGGTAGGAACTCATGCTCAACAAGAGTGGTTCAGATTGACTCAACTGTCCAAATGTGAAACAAAAGACATGTTCATTTCTTGTTGCCAGTCTGTCAATCTCACCAGCCTTAGTTACCTGGTGTATGTCTTTCAGATTCTCTAAATATGCTTCCATCAAGTTGATCTCGTGTTCTAGGTTGGAAATCCACTTGACCAGCTTCTCTGTGCTAAATGGAGATTTGTCACACCTTAACAAAAGATCTACAAGGACTTGTTCTTCCATTCCTCCCCCTCGAATACGCGGGAGACTCTCAGCAAGATTCCTTTGAAAGTGAGTCTTAAATTCCGTAACCATTTTCTGAAACCAAGTCATTTTGTCCTTGATAGAGGTGAACTTACAAGGAACGGTGTGTCCCTTCAAATCATTTAATTGACTCTCCAAATTTACCAATTCCTCATAAGCACTACTTACATTGCTAATAACGTTGACACTTATATCTCTAACAAGTTTAGCAGCACTACTATCAAGCAGATGTAGTGGATACAACCAAACTTTAAGTGGAACACCATTTGTTCCATCCTTTCCTACTTTATTTGGGAGATCATGATACAGTTTAACGGCGTCTTCATAGTTGACGGGGTTGGTGTCAATTATGAAATCTCCATGGAACTGGCAATGAAATTCTTCAACTTTGGATCTTTCTCCGTCATTCATGTTTAGATTACCATCCCCAGATATCTTAACTGATGGTATTTTGTTAATCATTACTTCCAGATCACCTTTTATTTCCTGCTCTTCTGAAGACTCAGAAAACTTGCGATCAAAAACAAAGAAAGCTTGTGCGCCATACAGAATTCCGGTCACAACGTGGGTGGCAGTCCCCTGATCAAACACATCTTGATGTTTTGCATTACTTTTCCCTAGATGCTGCATGGTGAGTTGCTCAAATCTTGTTGTAGTCTTGTATTTCAGAGTGACTCGACTTTGATGTCTTAATTGCTTCTGGTTGCTCAGATAGGAGGCAGATCCTGATATGTCTATGAGCCCGCTGCAGAAACTGGCTTTCATTGATGCCGATATGTCCATAGCCGAGGATTTATCATCAATCGAATCCGAAATGATGACATCATATTCCACAGAGGGTTTCTGTTGGTTGAAATTATACACTAATATATGTTCAAGATTAAGCAGGTGATTGACGTATACGAGACCAACTGAGTAACAAGCATAATACAGGTGTCAGTCAATAACTTAAATAAAACTCAACTAGACACATTTCATTGCACTGTAAAATCTGATGTATTTTAAAGCTTGACACCAGGGCGACCATATTAAAAACAACAAAGTGAGATATTATCATTATCTAAAATAAACTATTCAAAGAAATTAATTAATGAAGATTAAAGAGACAAATAATTAGTGACGCAGATGTAGATATGCTTGTGTTGGCAGTGAGTCTTGTGATATTGATGTACATAACAGTAATGGTGATGATGGTAATGGTGATGATTACAATGATGACAGTGATGGTAATGGTGATGAATACAATGATGACAGTGATGGTAATGGTGATAATTACAATGATGACAGTGATGGTAATGGCGATGATTACAATGACAGTGATGATAATGGTGATGAATACAATGATGACAGTGATGGTAATGGTGATAATTACAATGATGACAGTGATGGTAATGGCGATGATTACAATGACAGTGATGATAATGGTGATGATTACAATGATGACTGATGATAATGGTGATGATTACAATAATGCCAGTGATAGTAATGGTGATGATTACAATGATGACAGTGAGGGTAATGGTGATGATTACAATGATGACAGTGATGGTAATGGTGATGATTACAATTATGACAGTGATGGTAATGATGATGATTACAATGATGACAGTGATGGTAATGGTGATGATTACAATGATGACAGTGATGATAATGGCGATGATTACAATGATGACAGTGATGATAATTATAATGAAGCGTTTTAAAAAGTAGAAAGTATAGAGAGAATATTTAGTAGGAGGATGTAAAGAGAGGAAGAGTTTGGTAGCGTGGCCGTGTTAGTTATTTACTCTGTCAATACACTTATACTATCTTATACGTCAATACACATCTACTGCGTTCTTAAGGACAACTTCTCAAACACCGCTTCGCTACAACTATTTATTAATTACGACAATGGCATGGACACATTAATAACACCTTCTATCGAAGTTACTAGGACAATGTCCGAGTAGGACATTATATTTACGTTACTAGGACATCATATTACGTTACTAGACATTGATTCTCCGACACAATATGAAATGAATACACTTCCCACGTAAGTAACTCATCCTATGGATAGCTCTTACAAAAACTCACGTGACCTGGGGGAGGCCTAGCAGGTGATTCTGGGTTGTCTCTATGGGAGACTGCTTAGCTGGACACCGGTGCCGGGAGGGCGACTCTGCTTAGTTGGGACACCAGTGTCGGGAGGGAAACTCTCGCTCCAGACCGGAGGAGGGCTTGCCTCGGGCTCTCTCTGTCTGACTGTCTCGACTCCCTCTGACTGAGACCTGAGGGAGGGCTACGACGTCCTATATAGTCCTATATATTCGGAAACGAGCTGGCAGATGACTGGGTGGCGGCAATGTAAGGTCGCTAATGTAAGGTCAGGTCTGGACTTTCTCGGAGCTATAAGTTGTTGTATATATTGGAGGAATCTTCTGCTGACTGCGTGCTGGGTGATTTGTAGCCCCTTAACTTGGGCTGCGAGGGGTCCCCTTACATTTGACCTCCCTAATGTCGGGTCAGGTCTGGACTGTTTCTGAGATGTAAGCTGTGGTCTGACAACCCATCACTACATAATGGTGATGATTACAATGATGACGGTGATGATAATGGTGATGATTACAATGATGACAGTGATGGTAATGGTGATGATTACAATGATGACAGTGATGGTAATGGTGATGATTACAATGATGACAGTGATGGTAATGGTGATGATTACAATGATGACAGTGATGGTAATGGTGATGATTACAATGATGACATTGTTGTTAATGAGAATGGTTATGAGTAGGACCAAGATGGATGGATGGATGGATGGAGATACAACAGATCAATCAATCTCGTTCCCTATCCATTTCCCTATTCATTAATAACATTTGATGATCGGTGTTTAGTAGTGATCCTTTAACTGTATTGAAAATTTGAAGGAAGGGGGGGGGGGGCATGAATTACGCCTCAAGATATCCTTCGGAAGAGAGAGAGTATATGAAGGATATATGGTTCCTACACTTCCTCCCTTCATAACTCATCTCTCACTGCAACTCGAGAATGTGGATCACGACAGCTCTATGCGTTAGTCAGCTCTATGTACGCTTTTTCTTTCTGACTGACGGAGTGAGAAAACATTTCCGTCATGTACCAAACACACCCCCTCTCTATCTCTACATTATGACTAATTCTCCGTCACACTTGATTTTTTATTAACGTAAGTTGACTGAATATGAGAGAACAGCTGCCATGAAATCTATTTATACACTCTCCCATAATTGCAGTATTTCCTCCTGCAATTCCTTACCTTACTTGAGTTAATATTGCCCTTGAGGATATCAGGGTCCCACAGTGTTATGCCAGGAATAAGCTTCTCATTGCGACAGTCATACAACATGCCAAGTTGAAATGGGCGCCCAACAGCTAATATCTCCAGAGTATCTTTCTTGGAGTCAGCCATTTTCTCCTTTGCTATTTCCTGAAATTGTTTGCAAGATTATTATTATTATTATTGATCAAACTTGAGAATTAAAAACATTTACTATCGTATAAAAAGAGTTCATTAAAACATGAAGCAAATACAGAACACAGGTGGAGGAGTGAAACATTTCTTTAATAAACAAAGAAGGAAAATTTTCCTAACTTTCCGTGATTGGTCGAGAGTTTTAAATTTCTTGATTCTAACTAACGTGTGTGTGTGTGTGTGTGTGTGTGTGTTTGTGTGTTTGTTATACTTGGCAGTGTATCAGCCCATGTTAGTCTTTATATAAATGTCAGGGTAATACATTGTTTTTATATAATCATATCACCCCCTGTAACTTTCCACTGGCTATGAGGTGACATGATCATATCACGTGATGGGCATGTTCCTTGAGGTGCGGCCCAGTGACTGTTTAGGTCAGCACTGAAAAGCCGGCGTCTTGCGGAACTGTTACTTAACCCCTCACACAGATCGGACGTATTTAGCAGGTCTATTTAAATACCCTCTGTCCTTCTCTTAACACTCATAGTTACAGTGATAAGTTACAGTGATTTACACTTTGGATCTGTATCCTCAATAGTTCCTAAATAAAGGGATAACAAACAATTGGGTTTCGTTACCAAAACCCTCTATAATATAAATGTTCAGGCCTCATTAACCGAGACAGACACAGCAGTTAAATGGCCTAGAATATAAGGTGGCAGCAAGTGGTTTCGAATTTTGAAATCAGTACACACATAACAAGTCATCAGTGTTTTACGAAACAAGAAAAACAAAAACCAGTGACGTGTTACATGAAATATATTTCATGTAACACGTCACTACACTTGGATATATATCCAAGTGTATTGATATATCCCGTAGTGAGACGTTATAGTTGAGTGACCTTCATTCTGTTGTCCAAAGAGGTGTGCAGAATTATTTCCAAGTTATTGTTGACTTTATATCTTACGGGAGGTTGGTAATACCCCTGTTTGGCAACGAGAGGTGGTGGTCAGGAATTTGCATGTTCAGCATTGGGCATCCTGTGTACCGGCGCTTACAGTGGTGTCACATACCTACGACGTTTGGCAACACTGGACCTTTCACAATTGTTTAAGAAGACCGTTTTGGCTGTCGTGACTGAAGATTGTACAGTCTCCCATTGCCCCCAGCGAGTCCTACATATACGGGACTTCAGAAGGTTTGGCACACAGAAGGAGGGACATCTCGTCAGTGAGCAGGTGACCAGAGACTTCGACACCAGCAGTCAGCAATTTTAGTGGATAGTGGACTCCCCGTCGTGAAGTGGACTCGCCCATTGTCACCTTGCAGCGTCTTTCAGTTGCTATGCAACTGAGGGAGGGGAGGAAACACACACTCGCCCTGACCTTGGGACGACTGAAGCAACCCACCTACCCCACCCCTGCTTGAGACCAGCTGTGCTACGACTGGGAAGGACGAGACCAGCTGTGCCGTTTTCTTTGAAGACGACAAACTACGTACATAGGTATTTAAGCATACATTTTATATATACACACATTTACATGTTACTGCCATAACTTCACACTGATAGACATCGTTTGGGTTATATCAGTTTTATAAGCGTCTTGCTTATTCTTTGTATACTGACTTAATTTATTTCCCAGTATATAGTTCTCATCAGTTCTGCTAATGATACTTTAATTATTTTAACTGTAATTAATATCAGTTTCCTGTAAATGAAAAGCAAGAGTAAGGTTATTTGTGTAATTCTTTGTGTGACCCATTAAGCACTTAATGGATAGTTTTTCAAAGTCATCGTCTTGGGACATTGCAGAATTAACAGAGCGTTATGTTAGCGAGTCGTACGTAGAGGATAAGGTTAAGGTTTCTACTACAGAGATTAGTTCAGTAGATGAGCCCGAAACACAGGCGCAAGCGAAGTTCGACATTTCTCTCAAGAGTAGTGAGGATATTATAGACCAATCATATGACGAGTTAAACCGTTGAACCCTACAATCAGGTAAATAGTATAGTATCTCGAATGATTATACACAGGTTATTCCTCCTCCTCCTCCAAGTTACAGTGTGTCAGATACATTAGCATTACCTCCCCCATTAAAAGATCCTTCAGTTAGGAGTAAGTTTGTTGGCATGGCTGCTTCTAACAACAACATCCCGCGAATGTTGTTCACGTGATACCGCGTGGGGATCAGGTTCGTGATTTTATGGGACACGACGATTACAGGATAAAGCAATTCTTGAGGGCATGTGAAGATACTATGCACAATGTCCATATTACTGAAGATTATGATAAGAAAGCGTTCGTTTGTTCTCATATCCTGCAGGATAGCTTTGTGAGTCTGCATCAAAATGCGAGTGGACTGGCGGACCCTTAATATGATAATTTCAAACGGGTTCTCATTGGTATTTTTGAGTCTGGGTCCCACTTAGGCCAGTTACATTGGGTTTTTCGTTGGTTTGATAATTTAGCACCTGTGGTTCACGCAGAAACACTGATGCGGACTGTCTCAATTGCTGGTGAGGTCAAACAGGATATGGAAGCAACTTTCCGAGGATCGCAATGGTATGATGACGATGGCAAGATGTCACCGGACAATGTGGAAAACTTGATAGAACTCATTAGTTTTCTGATGGCGGTTCGTGACCCAATATATTGTCGTGCCCAGGCAGTGGAGTTTGAACCGTCTGCCTTGCTGATAGATTACGCAAACAAACTTGCACCAAAGACAGCTCGACCTCTGACGGCATGTACTTACCAAGCTGCAACACCTGCACCGGTAGCACCAATGCAGCCACTTGTTCAGCACCAAGTTCAACGCCAAGTTCATTACGATCCAGGTAACAAACATCGACGGGCTTTGCGGTGTACCCATTGTAATAAGAGGGGTCATACAGTCGATGATTGTTACTAGATCCAGGGTGGTGGTGTTAGAGTTAAGGAGAGGAACCATCCCCCCACCGGCTCTCAGCAAAAACATGGAGCACCCAAGACATACTCGGCGGCGGCCAAGACTACGTCTCCACCTGGACCGGCGGCAGGTTTGTGGTGTGGATTCCATCAATCAGCAACTCACAACACGGATGAGTGTGATATGATGCTCAGGGCTAGGAGCGTGGACTCAGGAGTACCCCAGGTAACACAGCAGTGTAAGGCGCGTCGTTGTTGTAATGGATGCAATCCTAGACAAGGTTCTTGAAACTCCAGAGCACGAGCAGTAGGTATATTCAATAAGTGTACAAGACTTGGCGTGGTAGCCGACCGATACAGGAGCGGGCACAAGGGACCCCGGACCGTAGGTAGGCCGAGGCTGATCTGAGGGATGTTGTCTAGCTGGGCAAGGAGAGTTGCTAGACATCACTAGGACAATGACTGAGGTCCTCTAGTTACTCGACTAGCGCGGTACAGACATAGTATATCGGGGCCTAGTGAGTGAACATAGGCATTAGACATAAGCATAGATATCAGACATGGTATAATAATGTGTAGTAATACAGACATGTGAATAAATGGTACAATGAATGGTAACAGAGTCTTGGCGTCAGGCGTGTTCACATATCTATACAGTTGTCAGTATAAGAAATCGGGGGAAGGCCAGCTTCTGTCAAAAAACGAGGAAGAATAGGTACATTGGTACTTTCGTCCAGAAACATTTCAGTGGCAGCCTCTTTAATAGCGGCGCTCAGTAAAGCGGAAGTGTTGTCCTTTCCGGTCAGAGTTGGAGATATCAGATTGGCTCTGAATATTGATACGGGTGCATGCGCAAATGTAATAGCTTTGGCATCTTATCAAGAATAACAATGTAGATTCCCTCACCGAAACTTCTCATGGAGCCCTACTGATGCCGATCTCGAAGGAGTAGCCGGCACGCAGCTGAGCATTGCAGGAATGGTGACCTTACCACTACGATTCTGAAGACGTGGTGTTCCCTTCAATGCAGACTTTTATGTAGTCCAGCAATTTAATTTGCCAGCTGACGGGTTGATAGGTCTACCAACAATCAAAACGAATTGTAAAGATGTTCGTCCACGTACCGTAATAATGCTATTACGTTTAAGGGTGTTTCCTACATCGCTATGCGTAATTCTGCACCATTGCTCTCCGCAAAGTCGAAAGTGTTGTCCACGATTCCCATTCGGAGGAAGGCGGATAATGTGTTGCGGATAATGTGTCGAAGAGAGCTCAAGACCTCACACTCACTTTCCCAGCGTGATTATAGCAGCAAGAGTTGGAAGATTGTACCTGCGATATTAATGAGTACTCTCCATTATCAGATTGAGGAATATACCAAGGCCACTGTAGTTTTACCTGACGTGTACACTGGGACTGATGTAGTATGTCTACCGGAAACGTGCAAGGTTAAGGGTTTGTCGTGCGAATCGACGTTGAGCACGATTCGACCTGGTGGTTTAACAGACGTACTAGTTCTTAACAGAACAGGCGCTCTTAGGATATTGAAAGAGTGATGTTATTTGTATGATTTTCTGGTTTATCACATCAATGTTGTAGCACAGCCTACGCAATTCCCACTTGGTAGTATTGTTTCTCAATCTCAACAAACAAGGCAGGAGAGGGTTGATCAAATAGCGCCACATGTTAAGATGATTGATCATCCTCAAAGGGAACAGTTACGACACACAGATTTAACTTCACATCACATATCTTTAAAGGAGGGCACAAATCCAATCTACATACCAGCTTACCGATTACCACATAGCCAGCGCGCTGTAGTTCAGGGTATGGTCCAAGATATGTTGGATGAGAAGGTGTATCACACATTCTAAATCTCCTTTCAATAGCCATTTATTCTTAGCCCCAAAGAAGGATGGCGGTTGGCGCCCAGTTATTGATTTTAGGCGTGTCAATGAAAGTACGATCCCGGATAGGTACCCTATGCCTGTCGTGAGTGATATATTGCAGACCTTAGGCAAGGATAATGCTGTGTTTAGCAACTTTGATTTCCTTAGCGAGTATTGGCAAATACCACTCGATGAGAAATCCCGAGTACT